ACCTGGAATTTATTCTTCGTATTTGTCATTTTATTTTACTTTGAAGAAACTAGGTTTCTTCGTGTTCTGAGCAAATTCTCTCTGCTCAGAGCCAATCAATGGCTCTGATGCAGAGAGATATGAACGATGACATGAGTTGAAGCTTAACCATTTATTGTTTGAGATGAAAACTCAGAGTTCATAATTTGCAGAAACCATACAAAGGTTGAAGACGATGATACAAATCATGCGCTTTGGTGGACAAATTTGAATTCCAGCCAATCATAGCATGCCACGTCGTCTAACCGTTGCTTTTTTGTTTTAATTCATTTTTTTATTTTAATTTTCTAATTTATTTTAAATAGCTCCTTTGACATTTTTTACTCCAATTTTTTTGCATAAATCACAAAAATTATTTTCTATCACATATTTTTTTCCAGATTGTAAAAATCATTTTGAGTATTTTTGCTATTTTATTTTCATTTTCTTTTTAGTTTTCATTTAACAATTTATTTTCATGCATTTTTAAATATTTTGCTCTCCAACTTTTGAGATCCAATTATTTTCAATATTTCTGACTTTCTCGAATTTGTTTTGGCAATTTATTTGATGTTTTGATACCTCTTTAGAATTTTCCATTTAATTTCCATTTTAAATCATTTTAAAAAAAAAATTAATCTTTATTTTGATCCATTTTTTATTTGGATTTTGATGACCTTGGATCTTGACTTGGTTGATCAATGCTTCATCAATTTCAATTTTTCTCTTAATAACATTTTGGTTGTATGAACTTTCATTACTTCAAATTTATCATTTAAATGTTCATTTGATCATTCTTGGTACTTTGGAATAATGATAAATTTATCTCATTGGATTATGAACTTGAATGGTTGAAATTGATGATATATGATCCCTTGTCACATTTCAAATGTAGTTGTTCATCTCCCCTTCTCCATCTTCTTTTTGCTTTTGTTTTGATCATTGTGTTACATTGTTTTAGAAGAATAATTTTGTATCATTTCTCTAACATGCATGACACATAAATTGCTATTTACCGACCTCACGTAGGTGTTACTTCTACATAAGTCAATTATGATTTCTTAACATAACGACAAATTGTCCCGACTCGGTTGATGTTTCATTAACACTAACATTAACATATTAATTATGCTAACTTTTACTTTTATAGCTAAAACACTTAAGCATATTCAAACTCTTTTCAAAACTCTTAAAAAAGACAAACCTAATCAAATATATTTTTGTGCCTTTGTGCACTTTTCTTTCAAACTTTTTTCTCAAAGATTGGATATTAGTTTATTCTAATAGTGATGCAAACCACTACACTTCTTCAATATGTTGTGAAGTGATTGATATTTTTCACTTGAATATTGAGATGTGTTTGTGAGAAAATCCAAGTAAAGTTCTCTATATCAAGATCATGTAAATGATCATTTCCCATACTTGTGGGTAGTAAGTTGTGTTTTCCACTCGAATACGATGAAATGCCTTTTCAATTTAAAATCAATCAATAAACTTTGTGGTTATTTTTACCATAGACTACGAGGTTCTGACTTCTTCATTGCACATGGAGGGTACGTAGGCACAGGGCTCTTGAAGTCTTGACAAACACAAAATTAATAAAATACTTATTTTCTCATCACCTCAATCTTTTTGAAAACAACCCGGTTTTATCTTAGCACATATTTTCAAGAGGTTTCTATGAAGTACCAATGATGTGAAGGGTTATAATACCTTCCCCTTGCATAACCAACTCTCATATCAAGATCTCTCTTTTATTTTATTTTTGCATTGGGTTTTCTCGATATTTTCCATTTCCTTTGGAAACAATAAAGTTTAGTGGTGACTGTTGTCTTTTTTGAGTTAAGCTATTCAATAGATTAATCTGAATTTTTCCCGCCGCGACACACTGTGTTGAGATATTAGATATAATTCAGTTGAGAAATCAAAACTCAAGACTAATTATGGTCTGTTAGCCTACTTAGTTTACAATTTAGGTGTATATAAATAGACATAGTTTGTAATTCAGTTTGTACAATTCAATTCAATAATAGAAATCCTTATTTCCTTATTATCTCTTTCTCCCCTAACTAAAAGTGTCTCACACACTAACAAATTGGTATCCAGAGCCACAGTTAGATTCTTTATCGTGTTTTAAAAAATCACACGTTAGAGAACGTGTTTTCGGGATCGAGGGTTGTTGTTAATCAATCGGTGCAAAGATGAATGGTAACAATGGTATTCCAAATTCTCTTCCAACTCTTGACGGAAAGAATTGGCTTATATGGAGAAAACAGATGCAATCGTTGTTCTACTTCCATGAAACCTTAGACGTTGTTACTAATGGCGTTCCTGTGCTGGTTGTGGATGCAACCGGTGCACAGAGAACCGCCTACAACAAAGCCAAGAAGAAAGATTGGAAGACTACATATTACATTCTAATGGCGGTTGATGCGACAAATTTAGACATAATATCTCATGCTAAATCGACGAAGGAAGCATAGCATATTCTTGTCAAGTACTATGAAAGAGGTGAGAAAGTCAAGGTTGTCAAGTTGTAAAACTTGCAACGACAATATGAGTTATTGTCAATGGAAGAAGATGAAAAGATTACAGGCTATGTGTCAAAGGAGCAGAAACTCGTCCATCTCATGAAGGGTTTTGGTGAAACCCTAATTGACAATATGATAATTGAGAATGTAATTCGTATGTTGGCCTCTCACTTTAATCATGTTATCATAGCTATTCAAGAATCCAACAATCTTGAAACCCTAAAATTGCAAGATTTGGTTGGTTCATTGGAGGCGCATGAGATTAGGATTTTCGAAATGAAATGACTTCAAGACATGATACAAGCGCTGCAATCTCAGTAATGGAAAAAGAATAGCGGTTTCAGCATATTCAAAGGGAAAATCGACAAGACTCGGGGCAATAAATCTTGGTTGAATCCTCACAAGAATAAGTTCGATGACAGGGCTTCTGAATCCTCGAAAAGAGGAGCAGGAAATTCCCATTAGAAAGAAAAAGAAGAGAAAAAAGGTGTGCAAATACAACTGTGAAAATTGGGGTCACTTAGCCAAGTATTGTTGGTATAGAAAAGATAGGGGATCGACAAAAGGCAATGACGAAGGAGAGAACCTTGCACGTCAGGATTTACATGATTATGGTGATATGGTGGCTATGGATGCAGTTGTAGATAACCATGTTAAATCTAAGATCTGGTTCCTCGACTTAGGCTACTCAAATCACATGATTGGTCAAAATATGTGGTTAGCAAATTTTGACGAGTCGAAGAAGAGTAAGGTAAAACTTACAGATAATAGCTCGTTGCAAGTAGAAGGTATTTACAATATAGTTTTTCAAAGGAGTAATAGAGTGAAAGCTATGATCAAAGATGTACTCTATGTACTTGGAATGAAGTGCAATCTGCTAAGTGTTGAACAACTGGTCGAAAAATGCTTTTCCATGGTTATGAAAGATGGAGCTCTGGAACTGTTAAACATTAAAAGTAACTTGGGCTTGAAATCTCCTCTTTCGAAGAACATAAAACTTAATACCTTGATGAGTTCGACTGAGGTACAATGTATGAAAACGGTTGTCGACCACAAGAACAGTTGGTTATGGAATTTGAGGTTAGGCCATCTGAACTTTAGATCACTCAATCAACTGATCACTCAAGATATGATGACAGGTATCCTAAGTCTTGAGATGCTCGACAAACTCTGTGAATGTCGTCTAGTCAGAAAGCAATCTAAAAAGTCTTTCATTTTAACTATGCTAATGAGATCCTTCTGCATACTTGAAATTGTACATTCAGATGTATGTTGTCGTTTTGAGTAGCATACCATTGGTTAAAACATATATTTCCTCTCATTTATCGATGAATGATGATGAAGTAACACAAGATGAAGAATTAGTTCATTTTTCTTTACTTGCAGGTGCTGAACCAATCAACTATAGCGAGGCTTTAAAGAATAAACAATCGAAGTCATTTATGGTCGAAGAGTTACAGGAAATCAAAAGAAACAACACATGGGAGTTAGTCGAATTGTCAACACACACCAAAGCTATCAAAGTAAAGTGGGTGTTCAATTTGAAACACAATTCTGATGGATCGATAGCAAGACATAAGAAATTGATAGCTCGCGGATTTATTCAGAGAGCAGGACTCGACTACTCTGAAGTATTTGCTCTAGTAGTAAGGTTGGAGTCTGTTCGACTAGTGGTAGCATTGACATACAAACAAAGCTGGTTGACATTTCACTTAGATGTGAAGTCAATATTTCTGAATGGACCTCCTTTTTATCTTATTTTCTTATTATCTTATTCCTCCTTTATTAAAAGTGTTTCCCGAACTAAACACTCCGTAGAACATTTCAAAAAGTTAAATATTGATAAACCGTACGTGAACCATTAAGAGGCTTTATTGTAGGATGCATGGGCAATATAAGTAAGGGATACATTGAGATGTTATACTGCCTTAACCGTTGGATTCAATTGCACCATAGAGGACTTTTTCAAACCTACGATATTAAGCCAGGTTCAAAGGATAGAGACCATGTACCAACCAGCATTTAGTAGAGTACAACTACCAAATAATATGAGGCTAGTATGCAATTGCCGAAAGCATCATTCATACATGTTTAGCATTTCAAACCGACACTGAGAAGGACAGAAGATTTAACTAGATTTGAAAATTAATTTAAAGATATTTTAAAATCTAAAGCATTAAACATGATAAAAGATGTTAAATTTTACTTTTATTTTAGACAAAAACATATGACTTTTTGTTGTTATTAATATTTGAAAGTATATAATTTATTTAAAATTGTGACTTGACACATTAAATGAGCATGTTATATTGCTCATAAATTTCAAAACCAAACACATACCAAAAATCATCTCTTTTATGTTCTATATAAAGCCACACCTTGAATCACTTATATTCACCAAGCAAAAGCAAATTACAATATTTCTATTTCAATCTATTTCCTAGAGAAGCAATGGCAAGCTTGAGAGTTTCTTGTGTGGTTGCATTGATGTGCATGGTGGTTATTACTGCACCCATGTCAGAGGCTGCAATCTCGTGCGGATCGGTAGCTGGGGCCCTTGCTCCGTGCCTTAATTATCTTACGGGTCGTTCTAGTCTTTCACCAGGATGCTGTATTGCTGTGAGGAGACTTAACGCGCAGGCACAAAGTAGCCCCGACCGTAAGGATGTTTGCAACTGCTTGAAAGGTGCTGCTGGTTCTATTCGTGGTTTGAATCTCAACACCGCAGCTACTCTCCCTGGCAAATGTGGTGTTACTCTTCCTTACACGATTAGCCCCTCTACCAACTGTAATGCGTAAGTTTTATAACTTACTCTTCTCATAGCTTTTTCTTATCTGTTAATTGGAATCACTACTACGTGAAGTAGGATGTCTCGGATACGAACCTGAAAAGATATAAAATCAATAACTTATTAACTTGTTTGTGTTTTTGTTGCAGTATCGGGATCTAAATATAGTTTGGATGAGAGGAAGAGGAAGAAGCAGGTAGCATGGCACTTCTTTCTACTACAGTAATACCAGCACTAGCTGGAGAGTTATCTAATGAGAATAAACAAAGGGCAACGAGGGCTCCATCTTTGCGAGTTCTTACGTCTATAGTTGTATTTAGTTGTATTGCACAATGAATATTTTTATTCAGTTTGGATGTTACATTTGTAATATGCTATATTATTCCATGCTACTTTACTTTCTACTTGCTACTTTACTTTTTGCTTTACTTTCTACTTTTTAACAATTCTCTTATTGCTTTTCTCTCCTATATTTATTGTTTTTGCTCATTCTAAGCATTTGAAATGCTTAGAATATGTGGATCGGACATAATTCATTATGACAAATTCAGTTTGTAAGAAATAGATTAAATAGATTGTTTTTATTTATAAATACAACATATATCATATCTCTGAGAACTGTGGGACTAATTCACCCTTTTAAACTTAACACAATAAAGGTGTTTGAGGTTGTAATGAAGGTAAAGCAAATGGCGCAATTTAGGCGACTAGGAGCGGACCGTAATGAAGACGGAAATTTCAACACACTCCCTTATTTCAGCATATGAGTACTGAACCGCATCTTATGTGCCTCTGAGCAATCCATAACCCGTAAGATCCTTTCAATCTCTTTGAGCCAAGTATGCACTTCATCAAGGTCGTATCTACCTTTGAAAATAGGCGGATGATTCCTCTGAAATGTCTCCAAGACACAGGATCCATCATTCCCGTCAATATTAGGCTGATATTGCACTACCTTAGCAATAGCCTGCAAAGCAACAACAAGTGCAACATCGTTTCTTTCAGTCATTCTACATACAGAAAACTAACGTCAGAAACACATATCGACGATGTACTTACACTAATAGATCAATAAGACACACACATCATAGAAAAAACTTGGTCGGATCGACCTGCTCTGATACCACTAATGTAACACCCTTCTAAAAATCCACGAATATTGTAAATAATAAATTAGAGTATTGCACCAAAAGGGTGTCACATCTTCATATAAAACATCATACATACATATCTTACTCTGTAACATAGGTTTTCAAAAATTAAAGCATTTATCTCTTTGAAAATATAATCATGAAACTTTACACATCACAACGAAAATATAGTCTCAAAACATATTTATTAAATACTCAAAATAAAATAAATCACACTTCATAATTATTAAGTTAAACTTCAAAACATCTTAAAACTAAAAAATGCATTTCTCAACACATCGTGTCAACAAGAAACATATAGTTCAATTCAAGCGATCACAAAGACCCCGATATTACATATCAGAGCAATACCTTCTAAAATCAACAGAAATAAACAACGCACTCCGAAGCTATCCTCTAAGCTTCGAAGAACTATTCCTGGTCACCTGCAAGTTACCCACGTATAGAGGCAACGTTTCCAAGCAGAAAGGGTGAGTAATCGTAAATTATTATAAAAGATATATAGAATATATATAACAGTACAACAACAAATCATCATGAATTCCACATATCATCATATATCCTATATTGTTCTCACACCTTTGCACCAACAATACACATCAATTATATCTTTATATCATCACATTAACAACAATCATCAAGCATTAAGAAATAACAACGTCATCAACATCACTTAATCAATCAGTATGCAATGTCATATATAATGTAATGCAACGTCATTGACTCTTCCATGTGGTACAAAAACTTCATTGATGACTCAATCATCATTTCTCCAAAGATCTCTACAAATAAGATTGATTCACGCTTGGAACCAAAGTACATCATTATATTTCACTCAATCCACACTTTGGGATTTAGGCCCCCACTGGACTATCGTCCTATCATCATCACTGGAATAATCGTCCTAACAATATCACTGAACTGAAGTCCTGAAATATGTCATGAATGCATGATGCACAACAACATAATAAAACACGACCACGACTAGTCAAACACATCAGCATTCATGAATTCATCACATACCATCACATACATCGTATTACATAAGTTATCATTCATAACAACATCAATTCATCATTTAATCATACATCATGTTACATAAATTGTATAATCACATCAATTTATCATAGCATTATAATAATTCATCATTAAAGATCCGACTTAACCCTATAAAGGTACTAAAAATATACATCTTTTTACTCATTTTATTCCACCTAATTATAGATTATCATGTTAGCTATCCAACTCTTTGAATGACGCGTTAAACGGAGTCCAAAAACTCGAGTTACGACACTTTCAAAAATTTTCTATCTGTCTCTCGCCTAAGGCTCGCCCGACGCAGCAACTTGCTCACCCAAGGCTCGCCCAATGAGGCTGGGGCGAAGAGCCTTCCGCCATACAAAATTCCAAGAGCATGTATTTTCCTTGTTCTTCCTTCGCCCAATGGGCCTATCTCGCCTCCGCTTCGCCCGGAGAAGCTGGAGCGAGTCCACTTCTCCCATTCAATTTCCAGGGAATCTATTTATCACCCCTTACCTTTTCCTCTTGCTCGCCTGATGCTGCTTAGGCGAAGCTCCCTCGCCCGACAATGCATCAGGCTCGCCCGTCGATGCAATGAATCATATCCACCATGTTATCAATTCATCACAAAAACCCCAAACAACCTACATACATATTAACCCTATATTAATTATAATAACAAGGATAACCCCCTTACCGTAGATTATAGTTAGAAATGATACTCTCTTTGCTTTTCTACAGAATTCTGCTGAGCTCCGAATTTCCTCAATGTCAAACGTTCCCCTTGGATCCTTTCTATGGTCTTCCCATATTACCCTCACTTATCAATTCACCAATTACTATCTTGTCCTTATTATTTCTACACCTTATATTATCTAATTTTTAGTAATTACAATAATTCTAAATAATTATTCTAATTATCTAAAATTATTAATACCCAATACCACTTAATTCCCAATATACCACATATAGTATCACATCATACTTCATATTCATCAAACATCACATATACTCACTAATACATCACAAATACTTATTATAAGTTAATTGAATAATGAAATAAATAATCTAATTATTTTGGGGTGTTACATCATTAATTTCTAACGTGTTGTACATACCAGGCATGAAGAGAAACTTGCTCAGCATAGAGCATTTGGTCGAAAAGAATTACAAAGTGTTGGTCGAAGACATGATGATGAGAGTCGTCGATGCCAAAGGATGATTAATCTTGAAGGCTCCTATGTCTCAGAATAGGAGCCACCGAGATGAAATCAATAAAGTCGCTATAGAAATTTTTTATCCCACGGGAAGGGAAAGGTGAACATCGGGTAAACCTGAGAAGGGTGAAATCAAGGTAAAACGACCGAGAGATCGGGTAAGGGAGTATGTTATGCGAGGGGAAGGTATTAGCACCCCACATGCCCGTAGTACTCTATGGTATCCACTCTTGTTGTTATAATCAAATGGTGTGTTTCAAGTCTAAAGCTTAAGAGCTAAAACAAAAATGCAAAGAGGGAATGCATGCAAAAGAAAACACGGGGAGAAGAAGGAAATATTTACAAAGTTTCGCTCGGCTGAGCCCCGTGACCAAATTCCTACGTATCCCTTTTAAGGAATCAGAGCGCCATAGTTCGGCTCACATGTTCTAATTTGTTGTATGTTTTTTTATGAACAATCTCGATTTTTCCTCCTGTCGCAGATCGACCTTCGGAGACTCACACGTCAGCACAGAAGTGAATTAACATGTTCTTTTTGAAAGTTTGAAAAAAAAAGAAAACGAGCCTGAAAGCGAAAAAGAGTTTCAATTGGTTGATGCTTTTTACCTAAAAAGAGGATTTGAAAGTTGTTAGATGTTTTATGCATTTGCCAAGAAAAAGAAGGTTTTAGTTTTAATGCAAAGATGCAAAAAGAAAAGAAAAACATCTAAGGGAGACTATCCTAGACCTATCCCTAATGGTATCATACAATGATTGATCCTAAGGTTGAGGATGAAAATGGGAAATATCTACCTACGTTAACATGCACGGATACCTATCCTAATGTCTAGCTCGAAAGCTATCATAATCGAGCGATCCTAAGGGAACATACAAAGGTTCAAAACCTAAGGGAACATGACATATACAAGTATGAAAAGCAAACAAGTAATCAACAAGCTCAAGAGAGCACACACATGTCATGAGAAGCGCACACTTGATCAAGTTATAAAGGCCTAACCATTATATTACGCACTGAGGTAGGAAATGGAAAGCTTTAGCCAAGGGGTCATATCAACCAAGGAAAACAAGCTATCTGTGAGAATATAAGCGTTTATACCATGGTATCATATTACCAGTCAATAAGAGTAAGGGGGAAAAGTGATAAATACGAAGCGTCAATGTATACCAACGTAAGCTCAAGACAAAGTGTAGGGAATCGATTACAAACCCCTTTTCCATCTGACCGACTCGATAACAAGAGCAACACACTCCATAAAATCGTGGCGCGTCACCAGCTAAGGATGATACAAACGAAATGTGAGGGTTGATTGCGAACCATTTCTGCTCGCCTCCTTTTGAGGACTTATCAATGGGAGATTGAGAATGGGTACCTTCTTTGAGGTATTTGGGCACAAATGTAAACACACCTGCAGAATGCCCACTTCAAAGGTGGGTCTTTAAACAAGCCAAACACAAATATCATACAATGGCCCATAATACAGAATTTCCCTAAACGAGTCTTTAATAAACCACAGGGGTTCTTGACATGATCAGCAACGGAGACCCCCAACATACATCTCTATCCTACTTTACATGGCAAGGAAAGCAATAAAGAAATGCGATAAAAATGCAAGAAATCAAAAGCATCTACGACAACTACCAATCGAACTCAAATTCGTGAATATCAGACGAAAGCAATAAAGAAGCATGGAATACGTCGAGCAAGAATCACCAAGAAATAAACATAGTCAGAAATGATATCCAACTAAAAAATACAAAAATGCGTGCCACGAAT